CATGAAAGACCTGCAAAGTGTTTGGAGGGTTTTCTCAAAGTGAGGACTTCAACAGAAAGTACACGGCGGTGTTGCGCCCAGGTATCGCGAATTCATGATTCTCATGGACTAACTAGGTAATTTCGTTTGGGCTTCCCTTGCACCTAAGATGGGCTCTACTAGGTCCAGGGTAAATTGGGATATACCCTTTCTATAGTGAGCATATGGTGGCCGTATGAACCGCAGACCGGGTGATTTGGGGGTATGTCGTACTGGCTCGATGCAACAGAGCTGTCTGCTTTTGAGCTCAGCTCAGCCGGCAGTACTGATGATCATCACAAGACTCCACGAGGGCGGTCATGCTTTGCAACAAGAAGCTCCTTCCATCAACTAAACCCGAGCCCTGCCTCCTTGGCTTCCTTCTGGTCGATAGTCTCGAAGCCCTGCAAGACGTGTCACCAAATTGCCCTACCAACAAATCCTTGTTTTGGTAGTGGATTCCATCTTATACAACGAAGGAGTGCCCTATTTGAGGAGACAGCCATGCAAAGTTTGGTATGATCGAGCTGGCAGGACGCCTTGACCAAAAAAAGGACCAAGGGAGCCCGAGTTCCCTATGATGTATGTGGCACGCGGCATACGGGCATGATGCCAAACCCCAAACGTGGTGTTTGAATTTGTTGGTTTCCCTTCAAAGATCAAACGGGTACCTTGGAGCAAAACACGCATTTCTTGACTGTCTCATATCATGTTAATGACACCAGCTACAGGAATTTCTACAGGAAATCGGCCAACACCCTCCCAAACTTAAAGATTTCCTCTCAAATTCCCACCTGGGTTCTTCGACCTGCGTTCTGCGATACCTCGGAAGGCCCATTTCAAGCCATACGTTCTGGACATGACGCTCATTACAGAAAGGGTTACTTCCCGCAACCATGTCTTCTCAGAATGGAGCAGTTCTGGTGTAGTTCCGATTTGGAGAAACAGGCATGTGGGGTTGATCAATATTCCCGGCCGCAAAAGAACATTTGTAACTTTTCCCGTTTAGCGGTGAAAGTCATCTTTTTTGGTGGTTTCCCCAATGATCACCCTCATGTAGAGCTCACCTGAGCTCCTGGGTTTGAACCATTTTAGCGGTAAAAAACCGCCAGTGTGCAATCCACTCGTTGGGAAGCGAGCATGCTAGAAACCTTTGGATCAACTCCCCTGGTGTTTTTCCTCCCTTCGTCTGAGCTTCGGAAACGCGGGGTTTTCCCGCTTCGCCAGCCGAGGGTGAATCAGAAAGAGCCGGGGCTGCCAGGGAGCCCAAAGGTGTTGGCCCGCAAGAGCTTCACAGCTTTCTTATTTTTGTTTTTTGCTGTTTGGTGCCAAACAAGAGGGCCCTGCTTTGCTTTTTGGTACCAAGTGTTTGTTTTGCTCTGAGGGCTGCAAAAAGGAACCATGTACGTTTTAGGATGCCCGAGGCGTCCGGTTTAAATTAGATTGAGGTGAAGCACGCACAGATTCCACGTGTGTCAGTTTGGTTCGAATCATTTACCAGTGCGATTGTTGCTTTTCCAAACGGCCACCCAAGAAGATGACTGAGTGGTCCAAGGGAAGCCGGCTAGCTTGTTCGGATCAATTCGCGTTTGGCTTTTGTTTGGCCTGCACAGATGGTACCTGGCTTCCCTGCCCATGCTTTGACTACTGGTTTCTATTTCGGGGGAGTCCTTAAGGTGGCGATGCAAAGTCATTTGCCCAGATTCGCCATTTAGTCGGATTTGCCACCAGCCAGAACACAAAGTTAACACTCGATGCGGGGGACATAGACGCACAGTTTAAGAAGCAAGGTGTACAGTACTTTGGTGCATTTTGCTTGGATGTTAGGACTTTAACTTTTTGCCAACTAATGGGTTTTCCATTAAACCACTAAAGTTAAGCTTTTAGCAGGGGAGCAGAAAGCAACCGAGAGTTGACACACGCCTTATTCAGCACATGTGATGCGTCGCAGCTTTGACTTTGGATTCTGCACCCTGTGTGTGGAGCAATTCAGCTATTGCTTGGGGTGTCGGTTTCCTGTCGAGGATATGTTGATCAGAAGCTACTGCAAATTCACCCGGACCTCAAAAGGCGATTCCCCCGAAGGTGGTTGCGAAGGGTGATGTGCTTTTTGCTGGGTGGTAGAAACATTCGCTCTACTACCTAGACTCTCCATGACCCTTGGAAAAATGGGTCCATGACCCCTTTCTTTTGGGTATTGACCCATTTTTAAAGGGTTATGGAGACTCCAGGTATATACCCTGTTTAGGCTGGCTTAAACAAAACGACCAGCACAATATACTCACCTGATAACTTATCCGTCGGGATTCCAGCAAGCCAAAAAGCCCACGCGCTATTGGCAAGCCAGAACTGTCAAACGAAAGCCCCCGCCCAATCCGAACAGTAGCAACTACTGTACTCCCCAGATTTTGCTCCGAACAGTAATCTCGCAAACTTTTGTGAATCCGGGGTCTCGACGAAGCCGATTTCCCTCCCACAAATATGGATGTGTCTTAAAATAGGGGATCCTTAAAATGGGTGGGTTTTCCACGGCATCCGAAAAAGGGGTTTCCTCAAAAACAGACGAGCCACCCGTATGAAGCCCATCCGGTAGGAACCGACCATATGGAAGGCCCAAACCTCGGCGATTTGGCTGCGCGTGGTGTCCTGTCAGGGACATTCTTCGTTGAGCCCGAAACAAGTCCAGGCGTTTGGGAGCACCTGGAGTCTCCATGACGCTTGGAAAAATGGCTCCAGACCCATGATTTTGGGTAATGACCCCGTTGTCTAAGGGCCATGGAGAATCCAGGTAAAAACTAGGGGTGGCCCCAAAAATTGGTGGTGTCCTTTTGGGTTTCCAACTAAAGACCAAGAGTCGAAAAAGGCACCCTGGAGAGCTGGCGTTTACAATCAGGCCCTGATTTTTTCCCTCGGCTGAGCGCTTTGGGTTGTTTTCATTGGCCGAAATGCTGAGGCCTCGACTACTGAGCACTTCGGAGGCAGGGATTTCGGCGCCATCCCTAGGAGACCAGTCGACCCCACTTTGTCCAGCGGATTTTGTTCGATCTGCATGTGAGAAACCATCACGGTAGATAAAGCTTAGGACTGGGCAATCCCAACCAGCAGGTGCGGCCGCCTTGAATTTGTTTCATTGGTTTGGGCACACCATTACGCCGGGCTTTGAGTATGACTCATTTGATGAAGGTGATTGTGGGATGTGCCGCTTATTTTGAACCCTGCTCTTGACCCAACAATTTTAGTCCGTTTCGTGGCTTTCCTCTGGTTTCGAAAAAAAAAAAAAAAAAAAAAAAAAAAAAAAAAAAAAAAAAAAAAAACTCAAGGGGCAGCCATAGCCTCAGTGCATCATTTAAGTCACCTTTTCTTGCGAGCCAACCCAGATACACTGTATGCTCGGGTCGATCAATCCGTTGTCCTATGCCAGATGGTTCTCCCTTGAGCTGTCCAACAGGGATTACAGATGAGGATCATTCTGATTGGTTATTAAGTTGGCAAATGTAGCACTTGTAGTAGACGTTGTTTTCATCGTCGTCGTCGTCGTCATCATCATCATCATCATCATCATCATCATAATCATCATAATCATCATAATCATCATCGGGACCCTGAAAAACTTGGCTTGTTAGGGTGTGCGAACTCAGCAGATCAGCATCGTCAGCTTTGGGCTGCCACTTTAAGACTGATGCGCATTGCCTAGCGCCTCAACGTGCTGATTTCAGTGTTGTCTTTGTCCATTGGGAAAGCCGCCTCACTGCCTCAGCACGACTCCCCGATTGCAACACCCATCTCCCGAAATCAGCCCAGGGTATACCCAAAGAAAAACCCCCTGGAACCGAATCTTTTGAACTCGAGGTCCAAGCCACTCCACAGCCGAGACCAAATCCATAGCTTTCAGCGGGCAAAAATGGTTTCAGTGGTGAGCTCGATTCCCTGCAAGAAAAAAAACAGGGGATAATAAAGCATATATTCTTCACCCAGCTCCTGGCTGAAGGGCTTTCAAGACCCCTGGAGTAGACACCAAACTCCGTCCAAAAGGAGTTTGGGGTCTGAAAACCTGGCTGCGCGAAGCGAGGGTGCCCGAAATTTCTCGACCTGGAGCGTCTGGGAAGCAAATGAACCACAATCAGAACCCAGGTATTGAAGGTAAGGGACACTCCCCTTGCCATAAAAAGCTGCGGATACCCGCCTTCTTGATTCTTGAAGCATGGCTCTGGGTCGACCAATTTAAGACCGGGTTTTGGTTAGACTCAAATGGAGCCCTTCCGGGATCCCTCGATTTCGGAGGCGCCCACGCTGTCGCTGATGGAGTCCCAGGCTCGCTTTTCCGCGCCCGCTAAGAAACCCGAGGCTGGCAAAAACAACCGAAGGCCCGAAGGGTCCTTCAACACAAGCGCACCTGTACTTATCTGCGAGCCCTGCCGAAAGTTTGCCTCCAACTTATACTGAACTTGGAAGTTGACATGCAAAAAAGGAGCCCAGTTTTCACTGTGTCAGCGCCAGAATGGCGGCAACGGCTTCGTGGGAAAAAGCCCACAATGGATAGATGCCAATGTTGTGAAACCCTTTGGTGGTTTGGATTGGTTAGTGGTTTGGATTGGTTTGGGGATTTGAACCCCTGGCTTTTGTAGACCCCTCAACCACCAAACCGGTGGGCTTCAAAGAGGGAAGCTGACAATGCGGACGGCTTTTTGGCCGTCCGCTTCGGGTAACATGAGGACAATGAAAATCAAGCTGGTGGTTTTCCTCTGGGTTTTCCTTGAACATCACAAGGTCACAAGGTTCCCTAACACGAAGACACACCCTCCTGGCTTCATGGAGTTGTAATTAAGACCCACTCCCAACCTGGAGTCTCCATGACCCTTGAAAAATGGGTCCATCACCCCATTTGTTTGGGGAATGACCCCCATTTTCTAAGGGCCATGGGAGATGCAGGAAAACGCATTGAGTTCCGCTTGCACTCGCAGGACTCGACCCTAGTCTTCGAGGCGCTTTTCCGTGGGTTTCGACGTGGCTTCGATTTGGAGGGCTAGGGCTAGCCGGCTCATTGCAAGGCTCACCGCAGCAGTTCCTGGCCACACGAGAGACCATTTCCTCGGGGACCATTTATGTGGCCAGACATCGTTCATGGCTGCTAATTTGCCTAGACCTTCAACCTGCCACAACCTTGTGGGCTAGGCGGTAGGCACGCTTTTTCTGCCGAGAGAGCCCTCTTGAAAACAATCCGCCACGTGCGCACAGAACGAAATTCCGTTGGGTGATGTTGTTTGCTTTGGGGAAAGAGTTGGGACTTGCTTCTGTCGGAGGTGCGAAAGTCACCGATCATTGGCCATTTGATCTTGTTTGCGTTGGAAAGCACGGTCCAAGAAGGAGAGGTGCTGCTCAGACAGGACTGCTACTGGGTGGCCCTGGGGAGGCTGAAAAGGAACGGCGTTGCGGGGTGGCAACGTGTCGCGCTCCAGAGCTGAATTACATGCCCGACTTGGCTTTTTGAAGTTTGGCAGATTTAAGCTCTACAACTGGACAATCGTGGAAGCTGGGAACGCGAGCCGCCTTTTCCGAGTTGTCCAGAGAGTGATTCAAAAGCTGTGGGAGTCTTAACTAAACACCTCCGAACTGGATCAATCAATATCACATCAAGATGGGTATACAATCTTCATATATACATACACCGATACACATTGTCATTGGGCTCGAAGGTTCAGTCTGGTTGTGTGTCAATTCTAAATTCCGGGTTGCTCGCATGATCGCTTCATATTGCCGTACATGCTGGTTGCTTCTCCACCTCTTGCTCGCCAGTGCCAAGCCGAAGAAAGGGCGAGACCAGCATGCGGAGCTGGTGGTTGGCATCTCCTCGACCGGAGAGGCGGACCCAGTGATGCGCCGAAGTCATGAGGCGACACCTTCGCAGATAGATGGCAATGGTAGTTTTGTAGAGCTGCAGCAGACCGAGGTCAAAGAACTCCCGGACGTTGGTAAGGTGCTGCTGCTGAAGGATGGTGACTCTCAGTGGGTCCTGCTGATGAAGCTGAGTAGCAATAAGTTCTGTCGTGGAAGCAGCCTGTGGACAGATGGCAAAGCACTTGAGCCCGAGAAGGTGTTAGACAAGAAGGCACCAGCTCTCAAGGAGTACGACGCCAAGAGCATCGCATTTCACAAGCTGAAGGGCAACTGAAGCTGATATATTTGTGTTAGTTTCCCTTTTTGGTTTTAAAGGGACATCTATCACAAGACTTCGATTTCACTACTGGACATGTGTTTTCTCCTTTTTCCAGGGGGCGTCTTCTGGAAGGCATCAATGCGGTAAAGCTGCAGACCAACAAAGTGGAATTCAAGGAGGGATCGGACAAAGGCAAGACCGAAACATTTTTGTTGGGTTTTGGAGTGGACCCAACCGTGGGGTGTCGGAAAGGAAGCTAGTTGAAGCAGGAAATTGCTAGACTTGTAATCATGTTTACAGGCTGTCAGCGTCTTATGCGGGACATGTTGTTTGTCCCATTCCTCTGCAGCGGCTTAAAGGCTTTAGTCTTTTGACCAGCGCATGCCTTCATTGCCCCAATGCACACATAAGCTTGCTGGTCAAAACGTGACTCGCGCGTGAAGACAGGGAGTTCCTACTGTGGATGGACGATTTCCGGCACCACTTTGAAACCATGGGAAACATTGTTGGTTGGTATTTTGCAGGGGAATCGAATCATAGGGTGTCTTAGGTGGTGCGAAATGGATTTCGTCCATCCACAGTATCATCAAGGGACTTGAGAAGGAACTCTAGGCAGCCAAAGCTGTGAAGCTCTTTCTGCCAGCACCCCCAGACCTGGATTCTGGGCTGCCTTTGTACTCCTTGCTCCGGAGAAACCAACAAGTAAAAGGGGGCGCTGAAAGTTGAAGCACACGCCTCAACTGCCGGCCTACGTGTTTCTTACAAGGCAGCTTACCAAAAACCGTCTGACCAAGCTTCATGGCAACTTGGTGATTTGGTTAAATCAGAATGGCCCTCAATTGTTGGGTTCAACAATTTGTGGGATAACCACAAACAGTGAGAAGCTTTTTTGCAGAGGGCTCGTTACAGCAACCAAGACGGGGCCCAAATCAGCGGCTGTTGCGATGTGATTTTGAGTATCTTTTAGATTTATTCCAGCTAATGTCTTGTAAAATGTGCTGGTTCAATAATTAGGCAGATAATGATACATGGAACGACCCCGAGAAGAACCATCCCATATATGGTTTCCTTTAGGGTTCATTCCCAAACCCGAAAGGTCTTTCCCTACTGAGCACCAGCAAGAAAACATGTCAGTCTCAACCCGAACGTCACCCATCTTCATGCGTCATCCAAATTTTACAAATATGGGAAATTTGATATGATCTCTTCCCCCCAACAAAAAATCAATAAGTATTATTTGGGGCCCAAGCGGTATTTATTCATAGGCCCCATGTATTAATAGGAAAAGCGATTAGTCACCCAGCCGAACTTGCTCAACGATTTTCCTCCAGACAGCCCATGAAACTTTCAGGACGGTCAAATCTCCACACTCCTGCAGAGAGAGATGAACATAACATACTCTTATAAGTTGAGATTGGGCCATCATGGGGCCTGTGTTTTTGCAACCAGCCAACAAATATACTGTTTTTTCCAGATAGCTGAAAGCTTCAAGGGGTTCTATCTTCTAACGAAGAGGGCAAAGTGATTTGCGAGATTGATGGTCTGGTGCTAGGGGGCGTGCGGTTTGGGGTGCTGGTGCTGATTGGGGTGCTGTTTGAGGTGCTGATGGCGCGTGCGCATCTGTTCAAGATTGACGGTGCTGCTAGGGGGCATGCAGTTGGGGGTGCTTGTGCAGGTGCTGTTTTGGGAAGTGACGGTGCGGGCACATTTTTGCATCTTGACGGTCGGACGCAGGGGGGAACGCAGTTTGGCGTGCTGCTGCTGATGGTGCTGTGGGACGCAGTTTGTAGGGAGCTGTTTGAGTCGCTGGTGAGGGTACGGGCGCATTTTTGCGATCTTGATGCTCGGGTGCTATCGGGCATGCAGGTGACGGTGCAGGCGCATGTTTGCATCTTGACGGTAGGGTGCAAGGGGGCATGCAGCTTAGGTGGTGGTTTGGGATTCTGTTTGGGGTGCTGGTTGATTTTCGCAAGAATGACGGCTGGGTGTCTTGGGGGGTGATGTTTGAGGTGCTCTTCAGAGTGATGATGCGGGCGCAGTTTTGCTCGATTGACGGCCGGGTTTTGCTTGGGGCGTTCTTCGGGATGGGGGGGGGCTTTTGGAGGTGCTGGTGTGCAAGCGCTGCTATCTGGGGTCTATGCCGGTGTATTTTTTGTTTCCGTGCCAATAAGAAACACTCGCTGAAATTCATGTGAGAGTCTGCGCCCCAGTCCCCCGGCCCTCCCCCTGTGGTTGTTTCTCAGACCAGTTGATCTCCCGCAACCATTTGGCTCAAGGCCCCTTTTGCAATTCATGGTACCATACATGGACGCGTGAGGAAAAAGACTTACAGGATTATCCACCAGACAATCCACCAGGGACAATCCATCCTCCAATCATCCATAGTGGCATATTGGATTCTCTCCGGAATAGATCCAGGAACCAACAATACGACCTCTACTACCACAGGGTACCAGTTCCCTCCGGGGATAGGCACCTGGGGCAGTGGGCCTCAATTTGTGGTAGCGGAGCGGGTTTTCCGCAGAGATCCAAGGGAAGATGTCATCCGATGGAGAAGGCTTCATGGAAGCCAAGCCGAGCTATACGGAGGAAGCACTAACTTTATCGATGACCGCCAAGCAGCCGCCATCGTACGACGGAAAAGTCAGCTGGTTCAGGTATGAAGAACTCGTGGACGACTGGGTGACCATCACCACAGTAGAAGCATCCAAAAGAGGTCCATTGCTTAAGAGCAGACTCACTGGAGATGCTTACAAGGCCGTCCTCCAGAATGATCTTTTGCAAGATCCTGATGAAGGAGTCAACTATTTCAAGAACACGCTGAAGAAGTACTTTTTGAAAGGTGCGACCAACGTGTATCTGTACAGACTCCTCAGTTTCTTCAATCATCGGAGGCAGAACCAAGAGTTCCTCATTTTTACGTCAAAATTTGAGATCCTTCTTATGCGTTTGAAGGCAGCATGGATGGACCTGATGCCAATTTTCACGGCACAGTCCCCATCATTTCGACAGTCCGTACAGGACGCAAATGCAAGAACAATTGCTCGACATCAGCAAGCAGCCGGTGTTCGAGCACCGCCTCCAGCCCTGCTCAACGAGGACGATCCTACAGTGCTCAGACAGTACATCCAAGGAATGCAGGACAGACAGCGGGACGCACTTCCTTTCGAGGATAATCTCATTGCACAGTTTTTCATCATACAAAGTGAGCTGTCAGATCAGCAACGAGAAAGACTGACAAGTGCAATGTCATTAAGAAACATCTCACTAGAGAATTACTCCCATGAGATGCTGAAGACGCATTACCATGAACTCTTCATCACGACGAGGACATCGATCCAAGATCCATCCATCCGACCTCAAGGAGGCAACCGAAGCAACACATTCTTCATCATCGAACAAGGTGAATACGAAGGAGAAGAAGGCTTCTGGGTTGAGGATGAAGAAGGACTTGAAGGATTCATGTCAAACAACGATGAAGAGACGTTCTGGGTCCTCGAGGAGAACGATGCGTTCATAGCAAGAAAAGTGTCGGGGCGGAACTTCAAGTTCAAGAAGAGAAAAGGAAAAGGAAAATCAGGAAACAAAAAGGGCAGTCACCAACGAGGTGGCTTCAAACCCTTCAGAAAAAGCGGTTCTGGCGGAAAGGCCAATATGGCCAACGAAAACTATGATCCCTACGACCAGGCATATTGGGGAAAAGGCAAAGGAAAGAAGGGAAAAACGGAAAATCAAAATTCCAATATCCCTATGATGGAAACAAAGGTTATCCATCCTATGAGAGTGGCAAAGGAAAGAGCGGACAGGAAAAAGGAAAATCCAAGACGT